AAGTGTTCTCAGTCAGTTTATGCATTCTCCCAAAGATACTAATCTAGCTGTTGCAGAAAGGATTTTGTGCTACTTGAAAGGTACTCCAGGGAAAAGTATTATATTTGCTAAGCATGGTCACATGAAGCTGGAAGCCTTTACTGATGCAGATTGGACAGGATGTATTGATGACAGAAGGTCCACCTCTGGTTATTGTGCTCTGGTTGYTGGGAATATTGTGTCTTGGAGGAGTAAGAAACAATCAGTAGTTGCTAGATCTTCAGCTGAAGCAGAATACAGGGCAATGGCTCATGGTGTGTCAAAATTACTATGGCTACGATCCCTTCTAGAGGAGTTGGGGGTGGACTACGAAAAACCAATGATGCTGCTCTATTGTGACAACCAAGCTGCTATCAACATTGCACATAATCCTGTTCAGTATGACAGAACTAAGCGCACTGAGGTTGATAGGCATTTCATAAGGGAAAGAGTCTCTTCAGGAGAAGTTTGTTTACCATTTATCACATCAGAAGAGCAACTGGCTGATATCTTRACCAAGGGAGTTCCCAGGGGGAAATTGACACACTATATAAGCAAGCTGGGCATGATTGACATCTATGCTCAGCTTGAGGGGGAGTGTAAAGAGACTGGGCCGAATGGGCCCTAACAACCTCTCATGTGATATCCTTTATTTTACCTTTTATTTTATGTTGATGGGCCTCACTTAATGGGCCTATTATTTGTTCTTATTTTACTTTCTTTATGTAACTACCAAGCTGGCCGCCCACTTAAGGGTATACTTGTCATCATCAATTTTTTAGAGATTAATAAAAAAATAGGGTTAGAGGAGAAGGGTGATTAATTCGACTTCTTCTTCTCTTACCTCTTCTCTTTGCCATCTTCCTCTCTTATACAGTTATTCAGATCTGTTCTATTCTGCTAATCACTAAATTTAATCTTGATATTAGAGGACTGATTTACATCTCAGAAGTTTATCATAAATAGTAATTCTGAAATAACAGTAAACTTCTAGAAAACTTAAAAATTCTATTCCTAAGATACCTACAAAGTCAATAAAAGAATCGTATCTTAAGTAGTTCCTGCTTCTGGTTTTACCAATTCTTCTCGCATAAAATTCCTTTAAGATGAAGAATGAGGCCAAAAGACTTTTTCAGGTCATTTTTTCCTTCTCTTTAGATCTGTTGGATTCTATTTGGGCTTCCAAAGAGGCTTAAATAGATTTAACCAAGTGCATGCTGCTGCATCAATTTTCCCCCTCTAAACAACTCAAACCCATGATATGCTTATTTCAAGACAAGATGTAATAATTTTATTGCCTACCATTATGTTCTACATCACGATCATATAACCATGAGCACTTTGATAGGCAAAACATGAAATGCATTCTATCTTTGAAATTACCTAGAATAAGTAACCAAGAATCACTGCTCCACTTTAAGGTTTGTTTTGTTAACGCATGTGGATATCTTCCCAGCTTGTAGAGGACTTAGGCAAGGTGACCCCTTATCCCCTTTCCTTTTTACACTATTAGGAGATGTCTTCAGTAGGTTAATGCAAAAGACAAAGAGCAGCCAATTGATAAATGGGTAGGAAGTCAGAAGAGATGGTATGGTAGTCACCCATTAATAGATTGAATATCATTCTTTTTTGTGAGGGGAGTGACTCTAGGTTACGAACCTGAGGCTAGTTTTACAAGCCTTTGAAAGAATCTCCAATCTCAAGGTCAAGGTCAATGTTGAAAAGAGTTGTTTAGGCAGGGTGAACTTGGAGCAGGGGGAGGTAGAAGACCTTGCTAGGATTGTAGGTGGTGAGGTATCTTCTTGGCCCTTAAAATACTTGGGACTTCCTTTAGGTGCTAATGCAAGAAAACATAGCTTCTGTGCCCCAAATATAGAAAGATTTTCTAAGAAGTTGACATTGTGGAAAGAGGGATTACATTTCCCCAGGAGGCAGAATCACTTAAGTAAAATCCACTCTACACAACCTTCCAGTTTACTTCCTCTAGGTCTTAAGGATTCCTAGGAAAGTGGGAAAACAGTTGGAAAAGATAAAGAGAGACTTTCTATGGAAACCAAGGGAGGAGAGAAAGGATCATTTGATTAATTGGAAGGTGATCTGCAAGAGTAAAAAACAGGAAGGCCAAGGATTAGGCAATTTAGACAAGAGGAATTTGAACTTGCTTGGGAAATGGTTATGGAGATTTCTGATGAACATGATAAGTTGTGTGGCATAAGGTAATTTTAAGCATTCACGAGCAGACAGACAATGGTTGGGATGCTAGAGTGTCTACCAAGGCAACTTGAGCTTCCCCTTGGAAGGCTATCAATGCCATTCTTCCGAGTTTTCTCTCTTGTATCGGGTTTGACATTTGTTCTAGTAATTTTGTGAAATTTTGGGAAAATACTTGGATGGGACAGTCTCCTTTGAAAGACCAACTTCCTTCATTGTATGATTTATCCTCCTTCAAAGGGGAATTTGTGTCAAAATTTATTGCACCTTCGGACTCCCATTCTGGTTTTGATTGGGAGTTGAGATTTCAAAGAGGCTTAAGGGACTGTGAAGTTCCAACTATTCTTAAGACTCCTTCAAAATCTTGAAGGGGTGTTTCTAAACCCCCTTAAACCTGACTCTAGGATTTGGACCCCATCCCCCTCTGGCTCTTTCTCTTGTACTTCTTTTTTTGAGGTCCTCTCCTAGCCATCTGTAACCACACATCAGTTCCCTGTGAAAGAGATTTGGGGCTTTCTGTTGGAAGGCTATGTATGAGAAGATTAACACTTGTGACCTTACAAAAGAGGAAACCTAATTGTTGCCTTTCTCCTTGGTGTTTACTTTGCAAAACTAATGGTGAGACATGCTATCACTTGTTAATCTCATATCCTCTTGTTTCTTGCATTTGGGATTGGTCTCTGTCTCTATTTGGCTGCAAGTGGCCAAATCCTCCTAGCATGTCAAATCTATTTGCACCGTCTGTTTTCAGGTGGCCAAAGAAGAGGGAAGGATTTTGTAGAAATGTACTAGAGCAACAATACTATGGACAATTTGAGAGGAAATGAATAATTGAATTTTCAAAGAAAACAAGGAGCTCTAGAAGCAATAATAGAGTGCATCACTACTGGAACTGCTTTGGAAAATGGGTTAACACAGACCTGTTAGCTTGTCCTTTTCGTTTGAGTGATAAAACAGGTTCTACATTTTAACTTTTCATTAATTTTTTATTTTCATATCATTTTAATGGGTCCTCTATTTTATATAAGTCTCTTGGGCACTATGCACAAGAAAGGTCTCAACTCATAAAAGTATTAATTTTAACCAGTGTTTTCAAAACCGGACCGGACTGGATAGTTGGACCGAAAAGACCAAGAACCGCTCTATTTCACCCCAAAACCGCTTTTTGGCCAAAAACTATTGATTTGGTCAGCAAACCGCTAACCCGGGTGACCAAACCGTCAAACCATCCACCAGGACAATGGTTTTTGGCCTTTTTCTTATTTTTTCTATCAGAGAGGGCTGTCCATTCAGACCAGATGGTCAGACCGTTCGACTAGGGAACCAATCCCTAGAATAGTTCCCTATCCGGTTTGGTTTTAAAAACCTTGATTTTAACAATATTATTAAATAATTTATTAAAAATGCATTTGTACAAAATTAACAAAAAAATAAAAAAGAATAAACAAAACAAAATACAACATTAGAACACGGGCTCTACTTGCAATATATGAAACCCATGTTTAAATCATAATACTATTAAAACTATCAATTAATATTTTTTGTATTTAAATTTCTTATTTTTATTAGTGTTTATTAAGTTTGATTTTTAAGTGCAATTGAAACGTTTTTAATTTTTATTATGTTTTGTTAACATTTATTAGTTTTAAGTGGAAGTTTAGCGGATTTTTAAATAATATTTTATTTTTGTTGTTTTATGTTTGATTGCTTAACCTCAACCTATTTACTATTTGACATATTAATATTTTACTTTATTATGTTGTATTACTATTCCCCCCCCCCCCCTTCTCTCTCTCTCTCTCTCTCTTAAATGCCTTTTTAAAAGTAATAATAACATGCATTAAAATAAGAGGCCTTGGAAAACCCAAAAGTATCCCTCTCTCTCTAATAGTGTACAGCTTTATTGATCTAATCAAAATAGACAATAATTACTTTTTTATATTTTAAAAAATAGAAAAAATGCAAAAATGGAGAAAATAGATAAATAGCTTCTCTCAAAGGGGAGACATGCTGACATGGACCGTCCTATTTTATTATATATATATATATAGAGAGAGAGAGAGAGAGAGAGATGAAATATTTTTCTACTCTCTAGGAATACACAGCAACAGTACATGCTTGACCATCAGTACAGAAGGTTGTTGGGGATGCTCCCAACCTTACTTTTCACATGATACTCTGTGCAGAGATGACCCTTTGTTATTATAGAGAATCTCATTGCACGATCACTCACTATGTAAGGGTCACATGATTATTTTGTGTACTTTGTGAATGTTACTTATAAAGTAATATAAACCATAAATTACTTAAAAAGGAAAGAAAAAGAAAAAAGAAAATAGTGACTAAGATTATATTAATTCATCTATGCAGTGTAAAAGGAATATATGTATTACTTGAAAACAATATATGTATATGACAAATTAATTAACTTATTCAAAATAAGTAAAATCAGTAACACCTAAAGGGATAAGTAAATATGCCAAGATCCACACCCCCCCCCCATCAATTGATCTCCAAAACAACATATTTAACTTAATGAGGATCATTGAAAGATTAGATATTTGCACTGCACAACCCAAAAAAGGTCAGCAGAAAAAAAAATACCAGAACAAAAAAAGGCTAAATAACTAAATAGTGGGAATGGTAGAAAATATCCTTAAAATGGGAAGATGTCACATGCATTTTAAAATTCACAAAAAATGACTGGATATATCTGAAAAATTGGCATCTAAAAGTATATATAATCAATGCAAATATAAACAGAAACATACAAAATAAACTTTACTCATCATTGGATGCCAGCTTTCAATAAGCTCCCTAGCTTCATCAACAAACCCATCCAGCTCTTCAAATGTCTTATTAAGAATTTCATCAGAAGCTTTGTCAGAATCAACAATTCCATCAAGTATGGACCTCAGTAGCTTCAATATCTCATCTAACTTCTGGTAGTACTTCTTAACTGGTTCAGAATCTACATTGTTAGAAGAAAGATGACCAAGACGAGAGATATTGTTGAGGAGTGCCTTTAGATATGATATCTCCATAACACCTGGTTCAAAACATTATTAGTCTCCTGGTAGTTCAAGCATATTAATATTAACACAAATATATTAGTTCAAATGCCCTGATTGAAACATTAGTCGCAATGTAAGATTGAAATTAATAACAAGCCATGCAAAATAGATGAACCCACCAAAACATCCCTTGATTAACAATGCTCCAATAAAGACAATAAGAAAAGATTAAAACCTCACAACAAAAACCGATTAAGCATCTTCTTGGGGATGGGATGAGCCTAGTGTGATTCTCTCAACTCCCCTGATGAAGAGATCATCTGTTTTGTAGTATTATTTGTCTTTCTCTTATGAATAAAGCTTTATGTTCTGCAACATTTAAGAACATAATCAAGTGTGGTTGGAATTAGGCAAGTTTGATAACATTTGATGAACCTCGGATCTCTGAAAAAATGGCTTTTCAGAGGTCTCTGGTCATTTGGTGTTATTCCCCAAACAAAAGTCTCAAAACCTCTTACCTCTGTAAAAACATCCAAACCACTGCAAAGGATTCATGATTCAAACAAATGATCATTTTTAAAATACCCAGGCTGAAGTCCCTCATATTTTTTTTGATAAATAACAGATTTTAGTAAAAATGAAGAAAAATATGTCTAGGAGAGAGAGAGATTCCCTCTCCTCATTACGTAAACATACAAAATTACAATTGAGGCCAAAACAGCTGAACCTATTGACCCCTTGCTTAGAGAAAGTATCAGCCACACCATTTGCGCTCTTGGAACCCATTGAATTATTATCATCATATCTCTAGTTAACCACCTAATCTTTTTTTAGCATTTCTCTATGAGCCCAAATTGCATTTTTTTCATCCTTCAAACAGCTAATGACCACCTATGAGTCACCTTCAATAATCAACCTATCCAGATTCTTTTTTGTTTTTGCCTTTTGAAGTCCATATAATACAGAAAAAAGTTCAGCCCTTATGGAATCCCCAAAAACAGTAGGACCCGAGAACAATACTAAGATACTACCTTCCTTGTCCTAAAGACCCCCCCCCTACATCTAAGGGACCCGATTTACCAAAACTGCTCCCATCAAAGTTTAACTTCATGAAACATTAAAACTATCCTCTGGTGGTTCCCAATCCTTTTGAAGCAGACACTAACCCCAATTCTGACTTATCACATCATATAAATAATGTAATAACAATTTCAAGGATTCTACCCAATGAGTCACCCTTTCCGTAATGCATTCACAATTGCTTCCTTCTTTCTTTATCATTAAGAATCCTTGCATTTCTTTCTTCCCACACCAACCATAGAACAGAAGCCCTTCTACATCTCCACATAACTCTTCCTCTTTTTCTCAGTAACCTATAGGTGCCATGCAAAAACAAACTAGATAAGCTCATAGCAAAAGTCCACCTGCATCCAAATAGAGAAAAAAACATTTCCAAATATGGGTAACAAATGGACAGGAGATTAGTAGGTGAAAACCAACCTATTTTTTGTATTAAAAATCAAAATTTATTAAAATAAAAAGGGAGAAGACAGAAGAAAAGGTGAGCAGAAGTAACCCAAGAAGAAGGGGAAAAAAACCTAAACCTATCTCAACCCAACATTCTAGAACCCATCAAGCTGCCTCAACTTAGAAAAGACCCCCATTACAACTAACCCAATCAGAGCATAAAAGTAATAAAAAATAAAAAAATAAAAACAGAAATCTGCCCTCCTCACCCAATTTGCCATCCCAAATTTCCACAGAAGCAATACAGTAACCCCAACTTATACTTTGATCATTCCAGAGAATCTTCAGTGGCTTAAGCAATGCCTACCTTTCTCTTACCAACCTTCTTATCTTTTTCCACCTTACCAGGCCAAGACCAAATAAACCCCCTTTTAAGCTGGAAACAAATTTTAAAACCTGAACCATATGATGAAATTTTTTTATTTCTGAAACATCTCACTGTACTAGGAACCTCCAAAAAAAAAAACTATCAACTACAAGTAGTCTTGTTGATCCTTTCTAACTCTAATTTCACATTTCATTCAAATGGTTGTTTGGATACCTCCTTACCCTCTTCATTACCAGCTTCCCAGTAGAGACATGACCTTAAACTACCTTGAGCACCATTGATCTTGTGGCTGGAATCTTCCACTTCATTTATCCTTTTAAATTTTTCTAAAGGACACATTTCTTTCAATTCCTTGAAGGTTTTTCTTGCAAATCCCCCCCCCTCAATAAAACACAACCCAAAGATCATGCTCACCTCCACCTCAGTATTCACCACTTTCTCCAAATATTTAGATACCATGAGTCTCATCTATAGTAAGCTCCTCATCTGTTTCAATTTCTCCACCTCTGTATTCACCGCTCACTCCGCAGCTCCCCGCCTCAAGAGCCCCAGCATCAGGCAAGAGTCGACCCCGCGTAGTTCCAAGCCATGCAGCAGAAGGTCAACGGTATCCTAGCCATGATGGAGATGTTGGGACAATCGGAACACGCCCCCCAAGCTATTCAACCTGCCGTGCAGGCGCCTACTATAGTCGATCCTTGCACCGAGGACCCCAGAAAGCGCCACGCAGACAGGCATAGGGATCAATCTGACCGCGAACAACTGCAACCATTCAGAAGATCTGACTCCCCAACCCAGCCTCGTGTGCACGACGCCCGCAATAGGTCACATCACTCTACCAATCGAGTACTGGCAAAAGAAAGGCTCGGCCAACATCTACAGCAACTGACAATCTTGATAGCCGAACCCAGCTCGGTTCGAGACCAACCTGCGATCCCAAAAGGGGGAAAGTCCGCAAACATGGTCTCGGCCGACAAAGACACCGATATCAGAGAACTAAGAAAGCGGCTGGCCAAACTGGAACGCAGCCAAGCGAATAGAAATTCAACTCCTCCGACGGCCCGACCCTCAGAGCAGTACCACAGCCAACCCGCAAAGGAACCTGTTTTCATCCAAGAGATCGTCGATGAGCTTCCCCCAACCGATTGGCGACCTCCTCAGTTCAAGAAGTACGATGGAGCCTCGAACCCCAACGATCACATTGAGGGGTTCAAGGCGATAATGATGTTGCACGGCTCCTCTGAGGATCTTATCTGCAAAGCCTTCGTTGCCACCCTCCACGGAGTCGTCAACCTAGTACACCTCCCTTCCGCCACAATCCATATCCTCCTAGGAGCAATTGGAGGCATAGTTCCTGGCATAGTTCACCACCAACCAAAGGAACTAAAAGATGTCGACCATCCTCATGCAATTATGACAGAGGAAATGAGAGACCTTGAGGGAATACTTGGCAAGGTTCAACGTCGAGGCCCTTCAGATCCAAACTCTAGACCAATTGGTAGTTGTAACAACCATCATGAACGGGTTGCGCTCCTCAATGTTCAGCTTCTTGCTACAAAAGAACGCTCATGAAGCATGCGTGGAAGTAAAATAACGCCGAGGAAGCCCAGACGCTACAAAGGAGTGAAGAGGACCAACATGATCAGAAGCGGAAGGACCATGATGAACGCAGATCGGGCAAAGACAGCAAGAGACGGGACCGCCGACCAAACTGTAGACCGAGGACCCCGCCACGAACGTACAAAATTTACTCCCTTGAACGCGTTGCAGGCCAAAATATTGATGCAGATTCGCAACCGCAGCTTTGTCAGGTGGCTCGAAAAAATGAAGACCCAGGGGAACAAGAGGAATCGGGACAAGTATTGTGATTTCCACCGAGACCACAGCCACGACACCAAAAGCTTCCACAACCTTCGCCACCACCTGGAAGACCTCATCCGATGCGGATACATCCGTTGGGTCATCGATATCAAAGAACATAAACTCAGAGAAGAGTCGCACCGCACCAACAAGCCCGCAGCCTGAGCTCCCCCGGTTGGGGTCATTGCCGTCACCTTGGGTGGGACGGCCCTTAGAAGGGAAAACTAGGCAGCGTTTGTTTACGATACAAACGCCGAACCAGGGTATTTATGCACCCCGGTTCGCGTTCGTGAGCGTTTGTTTGAAACATAAAAAGGTAATGATTATCAAAGTAAAATTGCATTTTAACACTTTTGTACTCTAAAAAGAGAGCATTACTGTACCTATTTTTTGGATACAAATTTGTATTCATTTGATAATTAACTTTTTGACCAAAGTTGAGGTATTGGAGCATAAGATAATTGGAGCAATTAATGATGGGCCCACACCTTTGCACCGATTTCAAACAAACAGGATGAATGCAAAACGGTTTAAAATGTGAACCGTGTTTGCATTAATGAACCGAAAAATGGGTAAATATGTAGTGTACATATTTGCGTTTGCATTGCAACCAAACGCAACCCTAGGCATGGAAGAACTACTCGGAAGAGATGGAGCGCCAAGACTAAGACGTACTGACGACGATCGACACCGAGCACTTACGACGACTGGGTTGTATAAATAATCTTCTTCAACGGCCGAACTCCATGCTAACCAAAAGACAAAGCACGACGGAAACCTCGTCAAAGACCCGACTGACCTATAACGGCCGAGGCCCGACAACCATCACATGAAAGACCCGACCAACCAGACGATCAAGGCCAAAACAAGCCCTCAACAGGCACCGCGGGAATGACGTCCCTACCACAATGGCAAGAGGATGGCCATCGAACATCGCACGCCCTCCCGACTTGCAACCGAAGCAGAGATAACTAAGGACCACGGCTAGCCTAGTCAAAGAGCACAAGGCTCTCCAAGACCAGGTGCCACTAAGCTCCCCGACAACGTTGAGAGCTCGGAAGCACCTCGGCCAAAATGAGACCAAAGCCACAAAGCCAAAAACCTCGGCAAGGCCAAGACCTTAGCCAACATGAGACCAAGGCCACAAAGTCGAAGTGTTAGATAGTGTATGCCCTTAGCTCCAATCAGAATGATGTACATTATGACATTTAATGTAAATGAATAAAGTACATATTTGATTCATGTTATCATGGTGTGTTT